GCTCCTCTGGGAGCTGTAGTCCGCCAGCCGCTCCCGCTCTGCGCATGCGGGCCGTGAGCCAGTCCCTCGCCTCGAACGCTGTCACCGCTGCGGGCGGCGGGATGCGGGCCTGTCCTGCGGCGTGGGTGAGAAGCGTGTGCGAGGTGGCGAGCGGAACGGATGCTTGTTTCAGTCAGGATACCTTCCTCGGCTGAACGCTCGCCTAAACCATGCATCGAGCCTCTCTAGGATCCCTCCGCCTCGGTGTGGTGTCCCGAGTCCCCTCCCCCCCGAGTCCTCGAGCGGTGCCACGTACTCAGGCCGGAGCAGCCCGGCAGCGCCTCCTCCCGCGCGGCCCCACCTCCTCTCACCGCCCAGTCCGGCGCCCAGGTCCGCAGGCCTGAGGCCACTGAGGAGGGTGGGGGAGGTTGGTAACTGTAGAGGGCAGGTAAGGCGGATTTTAGAAGGCCAGTTCAACCCTTCCTACAATCATTCGTTTCCAGGGAGGAGAAGATGAAGTGTTTTCCCCTTCAGTGTTGGGGGAGGGGTGTAAAGTTAGCACCCCTAGGTGATTTATCCAGTATTGGGGGAAGAGGGTGTCTAGAAAAGGTACACTCGCCCGAGTAAGAGTCCAACAAATACCATGTAAATGCATATGGCTCAGCAACTAATAGAAGAATGGAACCTTCTGGGAGTGGATGAATATCTTAGAATTCTCTTTGAGGCTCAGGTAGACGACAGTCCTTTTTGAAGCTGAGGAGGGTAGAAGACACTAGCAGAAAAGACTCAGCTTCTTTGAGGAAGACTGGAGAGTTCTAGGGAGTGCTCACAGCAGAATTAGGGCTAAGAATTGCACTGCCTTCAGTTAGTACCCTGTTGTACTAAACACTTTACGGTGTTAAATTCTCTCACCCTTGGGTAGAGAACTTGGAGTGCACACGAAGAGGAGGGAAGCTGGAGCTTGGGCTAGGTAGAATGTTGGTATCATAGAACATTTGTAATAAGGAATTCTCTTCCTGGCTTGAGAGGCATGCAGATACCAGATAGACGGAACAGTGACTTCAGCAATCAAGTCCCTAGAGCACTAAGTTCCGGTATATAATAATGCTAAATTTCACCAACTTGGCCTTATGAGATAAGGACAATAACACTTTAGTACTTCTGAATCCGATTCCCAGGACAGAGCCCATATTTCTCTGCCTGGAGACATCAAAATGTCCTTACTGAGAGCTCATAATAAACTGCAAACATTTTATTGAGGATTAAATGAGATGCTTGAGAGGAAATGCTTTAACAATGTTTAGCCAATTAAATAATAGCTGTTGTTCTTAATATTATAATGGAATATTTAAAAGTAATTTCAAAACATAAGGCCCTGTACACATAAAATTGTATTCTAATCGCCATAACAAAATCTTGGCAGCTCCACACAGGAGGACAGTCAGAGTGCTGGGTTTAATGGATGACGGAATTTTGCATGCATAGTTCCACCTAAATGTGCATATTGACACTAAAAGCAAGACTGTAAAATAAGAGTTCCAGGTAAAACTACAGCTGCATTTTTGACTCTAGGTTTGTGAGCTTCAAAGTAATAAGAAATAAGCATCCATCTTTGGAATCTGTAGTGATGTCTAGAAAGGCAAAGCATTTCTGAACTCACAGTGATTGATGGATAAACAGACTGCCTCCCTGGACAGTCTCCTGCTATACCTAGTCTTGTCGCACAGAGCATCAAGGACTCAAAAGGTCCATAAAACTGCAAATTAAGACAGTAATCAAGGACTCTAGTTAAACAAAGTGCCTTTCAAGTGCAAACCCTAAATAATACTTTGCTTCTGACTAATAGTCTTCAAACCTTAATAACTTGTGGTTTGGATTTTAGAAGTGCCCCCAAAGCCTTATGCACTCCTAAGTGGGTGAATCTAGAGTATGTGGTGCTAAGATTAAGGGTTTGTGATTACTAAACTACTACATGTGAGTGATTGGTTTGGCACCACCCTAATCCTGGTGGTCTTAATAGATAAAAGGGGCAGAAAAAGGCTGTTAAGGTCCCTTATTGCCTTTACTACCCTGTGTGCACCAGGTTGTTTCTCCTCTGTGATGCCTGTTTGCCATCCCTGCCTTGGAGCCAGCCAATTATGGACTGAAACATCTACGAACCGTAAGCCACATAAATCTTTCTCTGTTTAACTTTTGAGTGTTGGGTATTTTGTCTCAACAAGGAGAGAAAAATAGCTAGCACAGAGATTTGGTACCAGAAGTGGGGTCATTACTATGATGTTGCCTGGCCATGTGGTTTAAGTTTAAAAGCCTTGGGAATTAATGTGTAAAAGTTTTGAGAAACCAACCAAAGAGGCAGCCCTGGTACACTCTAACTATATGGGAGACTGGTCAGAGCCCAGAAAAATCAGTGTGCTTTGGAAATGCTGCCAATTAGGATGAGGCTCAGGAGGCTTCTTTTGAGGACTGCATTGACTGCTGGATCTCAGGTAGTGTATGTTGTGCTTTGGTAGGAAGTTGATCTGCCTTTTGCTTGGGTTTAGAAACACTGCCTGGGTGAGAGAAAAATATCAATGCAGCATATTGTTGGGATGGTGGCATGATTACTGTTGAGGGCTTTTGGCTGGATTTATGTTGGAAATTAAGAGCAGAGAATCAGCAGGGTGATTTGAAGTGTTTGGCCAGAGAGAGGCTCCAGTGGAGGTACAGATTACAAGAATGGAACAGAGGAGAACATGTTTGTAAAGAAAAAGACAATGGAAAAGTAACCTGAGACCTTTTACCAGAAGGGAAGAGTATATTTGGAATTCAGGAGATCCTTTGGGATGTCTTTTAGTGTTGTCCACCTGTTGTCAAAGTGAATGAGGAGAAAGGATTGTGATTTTAATAGATCTCGCCTACTATGATTTTAATATAGTAATATGATGTTGATATATGTAAGACTGGTTTTTAAATGTTGTTAATTTACATACATAAATGGAAACCCAGGGCTGGGAATTTAGCTCAGTGGCACCATGCCTGCCTTGCAAGCACAAGGTCATGAGTTAGATCCCCAGTATTGGGGGTGGGGGTGGGGTGGTGGGGGGGAAGTAAATGAATAAAAAAGGCTGGGGATTTAGCTCAGTGGTTCCACTGCCTGCCTTGGAAGTGCAAGGACCCAAGTTAGATCTCCGGTTCCAAAAAAATAATAATTAAATAAATAACGCAAAGAGTTTCAAAAATTTGAAGCCATAATGTAGAAGTATACATGTAATTGTTATATTAATGTAAATCTGAAGAGATCAGGATATGTTAACTTTTTCACAGATCTATCACTGGAGACTATAGTTTAAAGAAATGTGCCTGGTTATCAAATTAAGCAGGAGTGGATTGTGGTGGATAAACTAATGGTCAACTTGGAACACTCAGCTGAACTGAATCATTGTGGTCTGGGCATTGAAGACCTACCTGAGGATTGTTGCCAGTAGCATAAAAAGAGAACGAGAAGGGAAGATCAGCGGCTGTTGCTTTTCTAGGAGAAGCTTGCTGCAGTTGGTTTTCCTGAGGTAAAGTTGGCTGTTTTGTCAGAGGAGGACCTCGAGGCCTCACTGTCCCCTGGGAATGCCTGCTGTTCTCATCAGGGGAGTTCTGATCTTCACTGTATCATTTCCTAGCTCTAGTATAGAATGCTCTGCATGGTGGCACAAATCCTTCATCCTACTGGCACAGGTTTTCTGCTGTGGGGCTTCCACCACTGGCCTTTGGGGCTTCCAGGTGCAGATCCTCCATACAGATGAGCATGAGACATTGCCGTGGGCTCTAGGCCATTGGCTGGACTCATGGAGGACACTGTCTTGGACTTTAGTCCTTCAGCTGGAATTGTGCAGGACATTGCTGTGGGATCTAGGCCCTTGGCTGGATTCTTTGGGTCTCTAGTGTGTGGTTAGATCGCTTGCATTCCTCTGGATTTGACTTTTTGGGTGAATATTATAAAATAATCCCATAAATTAGGTGTTCCATATTAAATCTATTCCCTTGCAAACCCTGACTACAATGACTATAGAGATAAAATTGGTTTAAAAGTACAAATAGTGAAAGGTCAACTTACTATTGAAGATTATATTTGCCATAGGTTAAGACTGATATCCTGAGAGAACTATACATACCTAACTTCTAAAAATAGACCAGAATATTAATATCCTCACATGATCATTGGGATTATAAAACAACTAAAAAATTGCTGGTATGTAGATAACAAAACTTGAAAATAAAAATTTAAAAACGAATTTAAATGAAAAATTATGATAATAAATTCACTTCACAGTCATTATCAATTATCTTGATCAAGACTGTGGTTAGTTAACACTTGCTTTCTGTGGAGAAGCAAGCAAAACTGGGGAGGGGCGTTAAGAACATTTTCTTTTTTTTCTTTATACAGTATATAATGAATGTGGAGCAATAAATATGAATTAGATTGCAGTTAAGACTAAGGATTGTGCCAATTTAACTCACTAATATCTGGGCTTAAGTGTTAATACTTGAACTCAAAGTAAGAATTTTTGTAATGTGTATGATAAATATATTATGTGGACACCTTATGTAACAAAAGTTCAAAGAGGTATACAAATTAGTAGTAGGGGTTATGTCTGGAGAGTAGAATTATATTTTCTTTCTTCCCTCGCTTGTATTGGATATTTTTTTCACAATAAATACACATTGCTTTTGTGATAAGAAAAATATTTCTTACTAAGAAAAAGGTAGGACAAACACATTTTTGTACATTCATACCTTGCAATACTAACTAGCAGTTAAAAGGAATGAATTCTGTTGGGCATGGTGGCCAGGAGTGTAATCTTTGCTACTGGGGAGGCTGAAGCAAGAGGATTGCAAGTTCTAGACAAGCCTGGGCAATTTAGCAAGACCCAGTCTCAAAATAAAATTTAGAAAGGTCTGTGATTCAGTGGTAGTACACTTGCCCAACATGTGTGAGGTTCAATCCCCAGTGCCGCTTAAAAAATAAATAAATAATGAACTCTGATATAAACAACGTGAATAAATCTTAAGCAAATGATGAGAAAACCTATATATAAATGAGAATATGTTTTGTGATTTCATTTACTTGAAGTTTGAAAACAAAAAATAACACATGTATAGTGATGAAAGTCAGCGAGTGGTTTCAGTGTGAGAGGTGAAAATTGATTGCAAAGAGGCCCAAAAGCATTTGGGGAATAATTATTTTCTGTATCTTGTTTTGGATCATGGTTACATGGATGTGTATACAGTGGACCCTCATGGTATGACTGGCCTGACGTGGGTTATTAGATTAATGAAATTAATTAGATTAATGAAAGATTCATCTGCCCCTTGTTTTCTATAGCATGTATACAGGTAAACATCCAAATCTCAGCTGTATTGGTTTACAACCAACTTGAGTTACATCCAGTGCTTGGGAACCAATTGAGTTTATAAGTCAAGGGACCACTGTAATTGTCAAAGATTGTTAAACTGAACATTTAGATCTGCAAAGCTTATACATGTTAGTACATTCAATTAAAAAAGGATAAATAAGTACACTTCAAATATGTATTGCTCAAACACTTTTAAACTGAGAGATATAGAAAGTAACCTCTACTTCAGCCAAAGAATAGCTTTAAAAATTAGGAGGATAAAATATAGCCCAGAAGAAAGTCTGTAAAAGGCCCAATTGCAAATTAAAAACTTTCAGTTCCTATCCATATGAGCTTTGGAAAAAACTCTTTTATTTATATGTGTGCACCATGTATTTATGATTGAAGCAAGGTATGTACTTAAGGCAAGATTGAAGGCTTTTATGATAATTTAATATGGGGCATTTACTTCTAAAACTTATTAAAGGCACATAATAAAGAAAATTTGAGAACAGATTTAATATTACAATAAACTATTAGGAATTAAACAAGTTACTGATTTTTTATATCATCATTTTGTCCTCAAAATAGATTGATATATACATTCACAGGAACTTGCTAGCTGTATGACCTAGAAGTCACTTATATCTGGCCCTTAAATTCTTAATCTACAATATGAATAAACTGAATTTAAATAGCAGTTTTCCAACTTTAGCATGCAACAGAATCAGCTGGAGGTTTGTAAAAACAGATTGTTGAGACCTACTTGGAGTTTTTAATTCAGTAAGTAGGTCTGGGGAGGGACCCAAGAATTTGCATTTCTAGGAAATTATTAGACCTTGCTGAAAACCATTGAACTAGAACTGTTGTAAGCTGTATTTGGGAAAATCTCAGTTAAAATATTACAGATGCCAAAGATAAATAGAAAAACCCATCAGTGAAGAACTACTTATAAAATCTATATTGAGTGTGGAGAAAACCATTTGGAATAAGATTCCTAAGTATTACTGTGATAGTGATCTTTTGTACCATCTCTTTTTTGAAATCTAGAATTGGGGGTCTAAGAAGTATCTTTTAGAAACATAGTCATTTTTATACCCAGTGTGTGGTAACAACAGTTGTAGTGTTTTGAACACCTAATTATGGGATGGGAGGGAGTTTCCAGGAGAATAATAGGTGGAAAATCCCTGTGTCCCAAGCACCAGTTTTAGTAGGATATAACATTGGAAATAGCTGTTGTAATTACTAAAAAGTACCCCTCAAAAAATTATTCTAGCATGAAAGCTGAAGCTAATAAGGAAATGCAAGAAAGTCAAGGTAAGGCCAACTAGGCTTTGTGGTAACACAGAAGCAGGTAAGTACATGATTTTCCTGTGCTAGTTGGAAATTTTTTTTTTTTTCTTGGTGTGGGGGATTGAACTCAGGTCTTTGTGCTTGTGAGGCAGGCAGCAGCACCACTGAGCTAAATCCCCAGAAATCTTTAAGAAGTCAGAAACAGTCATGTTCTACAGCAGTTATGCAGCACTGAGACACATTCACTTTAAAAGCAGGAATTTTTCAATATATCTACAGATTGCACTAATATGCTTTTCAGCAAAATCCATCTTAAACTAGTCAAGTTATTAATTACTCATTGATTGTTAAGTAAATTTTAAAGTATTTGTTACATCTGTCAAATTGAAAAAAATGTATGTTACAATTAGAACAATGGGTAAACTAAACAGTACTGACTTAAATTTAATATGAGTGTCAAAGAAATAAAAGCAAAACCTGAGATAGTGCACTGATATAGTTGAAAGGGACAGGCATGATACTTAAAATGGATGCTAAGATGGAAAGTTTTGAAATGGAGTACCTGAAGTGGATGTTAGGATGGACAAGCCAAAGGAAGGGACTCAATCAAAAGAAAACAGTATCATCAAATGTCTTGGAAGTTGAGGGTGAACATTCTGTTATCTTGTAGGTAAAGGAAGATGTTGTGGGGGAGAGAGGGTTAAATGCCCAGGTTCATGTATCAAAGGCCAACTGTGCTTTGGCAGCTAAAATTTTGTTGCAATATTTTGACAAAGGCAAAAGAATTTTGAATTAGTGTCATGTACTTGAACAAAGAAAGGCATAATGGAATCTTTATTTTAGGAAAATTGTCCAGGCAATGGGTGGACTGCAGTTTCAGAGAGAGGTTTTGGGATAATTAGAGAAAGATCTGCAAAAAAAATCAATTACAGTTATCCATATGTGGGGTAGTAAATGTAGACATGGAAAGAAATTGGTAAATAAAAAAATCATGTTGAAGGAATGAAGGGGGGTGGAAGAAAAGAAAATGAAAGATTGAAATATTGTTTTGGGTCTAGAAGACTGAAAGAAGAATGGTATAAACAAATATGGGAGTTGAAACTCAGTTGCAAAAAGATATGAAAATTTTGACTTAGGAATGCTGCTGTTATGTAACTGAGAAAACTAAGTACTATATTTCTCTTGAAATCAGAGCACAGGTAAGAGAAGGAAAGAGTTTCAGTAATGGTAGGAATCTTTTAACAATGTCACCAGCCAGAGAGAAATTAGGATAGATAAGGTCAGATATAACATTTCCTGATATGACTATGTATAATTGGTGGACTTGTAAATTGAGGGGCTTGACTTCAGATTTGTTGCCTTTAATTCTTCAGAATCTCTGTCAAGCAAAATGCTTAGTTCTTCTCAATTCTTTTTTCAAGCATCTCTTGCATGTTTCTTGCTTCACATTTTTACTATACTTTGCATTTTAGATTCTTAAAACCTCACATCTGAAGTACATCATACAGCCCTAGAAGTTATAGCTCTAATCAACTTGCACATTATTTCTAGAACAATCCATTATTGTCTCCTACCTTCAAGAAATCCAAAGCCCCTAGCCTCACATATCAGTGTGTTTTCTATTACTAGAAAACCTGAGGCAATCTAGCTTTATAAGGTAAGGAGGTATATTTATCTCATATTTTTGGAGGCTGAAAAGCCAATATTAAATGGATCCTTTGATTTGCCCTTTGGTGGGGGCCTAATGAATGGCATTATACCAAGCAAAAGATCCCATGCAAAATAGGGGGCCAGAGAGTGATTTAGGGCAGAGGGTCTCCAACCCTTGGACTATGGACCAGTACCTGTTAGGAACCGGTCCACATAGTGGGAGGTGAGCAGCATGCAAGCAAACAAAGTTTTATCTGTATTAACAGTTGCTCCATATCACTTGCATTACCAACCAAGCTCTGCCTCCTGTCAGATCAATGGTAACATTAGATTCTTATAGAGCATAAACTAAACAGTGCATGCAAAGGATATAGATTGCACAGTCCTTATGAGGATCTAATGCTTGATGATCTGACTGGAGCTAAGGCAGTGATGCTAGCACTAAGGAGTAGCTGCAAATACAGATTAACATGAGGAGAGGTTTGACTGCAAGTGTCTATAATGAATCAGTTGCTTGCAGACTCATATCAGAACCCTATTAGCGAGTGGCAAGTGACAAGTTGCATCTGCTGCATCTGCAAGGCTTTAAGTCAGAAACAGATACTTATTTTAGTCTATGCATGGCCCACCCATTATTTTACTTATCACTTCCACCCATGCCCCTTTCCCACACTGTGCACTTGTCTCACTTACAGTTTTGGTAAGTCTGCAAGCTAATCCTTGACAAAATGAGTAAAAATCAAACATCACTGGAGAGCTTCTTTGAAAAGGGCAAAGAACCAATGATGAGACAAAAGAAGACTCTTTTGACTGCCATCAAAAATAACACTACATTTAAAAAAATATATACCAACAGCCCTATTTAAATTATGAGTTCATTGCAGCAAGTGATTCACATTCTCCAAGACCACTTTGTATACCATTATGGCTATATAATGAAGCTGATAGAAATTTTGTAAATAATCTAAAAACCCTCAAAAGTTAGGAAAATGTAAAATAAATTCTGCTGTCTCTAACAGCAATCCGCTTTGTTTAGTTCAAAATTAACAGACACCGGAGGCATTAACCATGAAATGGGACACCTGGCTTCATCCGTGACCTTGAACACCCCCTTCCTGTGCACTAGAATAGATAGCTAGACTAATCTTAAGGTAAGCTCCCTAACTACAAGGAATTGTTATATCTGGGTTAAAGTTAACTGTCTTATTACTGTAATTTGCACATGGATAATGTGAACTGGGGAAATGAAATGTAACCACCTAAATGAGATCATGGCTGTAAAACCTATAAAATAAGAAGCTGCAACCCAGTCAGAGATGATCACTGGCACTGCTCTTAGTGTGATCAACCTTTTGCCAGCAAAATAAACCTTTTATTATTTTACTTCCATTCTGTGTGTGTGTGTGTGTGTGTGTGTGTGTGTGTGAGTGTGTGTGACTTACCAATTCCTTTTGCAACAAAGCCACTATACCTTGAAAATTTCTTCACAGCATGAAAACCAACCACCTTGCATTACAGGACATGCCTTTGTAGATTTTCAAAAGAAAAAAAATGTGTACACAAAGAACAAGCCAAAGATCACCATGTCATCAAATGTGTCTACACTGAAGACATCATTTTTAAGAGCTAACCATGTTATCAAAGCTACGAAGTCCTTTACTGATGATGAAGACATTTGTTGTGAACTTTTAGGACAAGTTGTATTTCAAAAGGTGACAGACACATGTTCCTCTTTCAGCACAATAACTGGACAAACTGATGAATAGCAGAGGATACTGAGGCACAATTGTTAGGATTAATAAGTTACTGTGGTATGCAATCCACAGTTGAGTCTACTGATGTAGCAACAATACTTGTTTTTGTGTAATATATTTTTCAGGAGGGTGTGCATGGGATATATTACATGCACTTTTGTTGCCAACCACTACCACAGCTGCAGAATTATTCAAGACTTTGAATGATTACATATAGGAAACAACTGATCATTTTGTATTGGTATATGCACTGACCCAGCAGCTGTCATGACCGGACACCTTCCTGGTTTCATTACTTGGATCAGAGGTCACTTCTGAATATGAGTCTACACACTGTGTCATCCATAGAGAGACGCTGGCTCACTGAAAAATGTCTCTTGAACTTAGTTTTACAAGATATGATCAAAATTAGCTTCATTAAAGTAAGTGCGCTTAACTCATATCTGTTCACACAGGTTTGTGTGGCAGTAGACACAGAGCACATGTCTTTTATATACAGAAGTGAGAAGATATTCTAAAGGTTAAGCACTGACCAGAGAGGTTTTCTTTTTAGTTTTAGTTTTTTATTAGTACATATTTTAGTACATAATAATTACACTTATTGTGGGGTGTTGGTACATGTACATAATATATCTCCAGAGTTTTTGAGTTATAAGATCTGCTCTAAAGATTTCTTTTAGAAAAAACAGTGGCAGCACATTTCATGGTCAGGATGGATTGCAAATCTTGTTTACTTGTATGACATAGTCAACCTGCTCAATATTCATCCTGCTTAGTGAACTCAATGTGTCACTTCAGGGGAGAACAACAACTGTTTTTAAGACAGCAGAAGAAAATGGCTCACTTCAAAGCCAAATAAAATTATAGGAGTGACAAGTGAACTTTTGGAACTTTTTATATGTTTCAAACATTTGCAGAGATTTTTAAAGGAAATGAGCAAGGTCTGCCCTTTGCCTAGCTAGTGCATGATCACCTATCTCAGCTTTCAAAAGAGTTTTGAGAATTACTTCCCAAACACAAATGACCCCTGAAATGGGAAGGAATGAATATGCAACCCATTTGTGAATAAACCAGGTGAATCAACTTTGTACTAGAAGATGATCAACTGCTCGAGATCACAAATGACTGTGGCCCTCCAAATCTCCATACATGCTGGACTGAAATTAAGGCAGCCCTGAAAAGCCTGCTTTCACTGCCAACATCCTATCTTTGTGAAGCAGTGTTTTCTGCAGTTTAGCAACCAAAATGAGATCACGGAGTAAACTGGACAAAACTATGTCAATGATGGGACCATGTATTTGCAGGAAAACAAGCTCAGCTCAGGGCTCCCACTGATTCTGCATTATGGTGAGTTGTTTCATTATGTACGGCAATGTCATAATATAAAGTGCACAATAACTGTAATGTGCTTGAATCATTCTAAACCATCCCCTCTTACCTGATGCATGGAAAACTTGTCTTCCATGAAACCTATTTCTAATGCCAAAACGTTGGAGAACCACTGATTTAGAGGTCAAACTCACTCTTACAACAACTTGCTCTTGTGAGAGCTCAGGGGTCCCATGAAAGCTCCCTTAAGGAATCCCTTCATGGGAAATTTCCCCAGTGACCTAAGAACTTACCCACCTCTTAAAGTTTTTACCACCTTCCAGCCCTACACACTAGGTAGGGACCAAGTATCCAACACATGAACCCTTAGTGGGATACGTTCAAACCATATCTAAACCATAACACCTAGTATTAACTTTACAAATCTGAAGGAAGTTCTGAAAAAACATCATATGGATGACTCCACCATGAGGTACCACAGCAATGGAATCAGCCAACCTTGGCCAAAACTGTCTGAAACCATGAGCCAAAATTAACATTTCCTCGTTTGAATCATTTTTTCTCAGATATTTGGTCACAGCAATGAAAGCTAACAATTATATCTTTATGTTCCTATTCCTTCAGCTAACAATACCTTAAGCATTGTAAGTGCTCACTAAATATAATTAAGCTATAAATAAGCTCTTTAATTTTTCTTCTCCTTTGTAGCTCAAAAGGATCAAAGCTATGAATGCCTATGATGAGCTATGATAAAACCTGTGTCTGAGACATGTTACTAATGACAGTTACGACTGGGAAATAGTAATGTTGATGAGAATGAGAATTTATAAATGAATCTCCAGAATTTATCAGGTTAAGAAAACTAAAAGCTGCTCCTTACATGAAGTTGTCTAAGCTGCCCAAGCTACTAAATCCCTTCAAGGTTTTCAGTCTCTGCCTTAAGTGTTTAGAGCACATTCTTGCCTTAACCTTCACTTCAGCGCCCTCCATGGTAACAGTGGAATGTTTGCTATTTTAGGAAATATGCCTCACTACACGCAATGTTATTTACATTATATTCCAAATAAGACATAATGCAACTGAGTGTCTGCTGATTTGTGAGTGGGAGGGTTCTGTTTGACTAATGTTTACCTCCCTAGTTCTGTTGTCCTGTCAATTTTAAGCCAACTACAGTAAAATTACATGTTAATAAAATTTGCTTATCTTATACTGGAGAGAAAATACAGAGGAGCAAAAAAAAAAAGGAAAGACAATGCAAGAATTTCTCCAGATTTTTCTCTGCAAGTACATCATTTCCCCTGCTTTTGCACTGGCTAGGTTTGGTTTCATGTAAAAGCTTTGAAATGAAGTTTCCACTATTCTGCAGAAAGGCATAAGACTGATAATTGGAACAACTGCTGGCTTTTCCCTGCAACTCCATGGATACCTTCACAGAGAAAGAGAAACAAATTTTGTAATTTTATTAACCTTTTAAAAATCATTTTTGGTTTCACTATGTAGTTCAGGCTGTCACCGAACTCACTAGGTATCTCAGGCTGGCTTCAATCTCACAATGATCTTCCTGCCTCAGCCTTCAAGACTGCTGTCATTATAATCATGGGCCACCATGCCCAGCCTACCTATGAGCTTTCTTGACTCACTAGGTGCAAAGAGACTGACAAGTTGCTGCAGTGTAAGAGCTACATTGGGAAACTCCTGACTGCCCTGATCACAGCAACATACTGGCTCGACACCCAGAAGGCCTAGAAGCAACCTGGAGTGATGGCAATTTGTGGCATGTCAAGTTTATGGCATTTGTTTTTGTATGAATTTATTATAAAGTATGATAAAAATATGGTGAATGCTGAAATTTTCAGAAATTTATTGCAGTAAAAGACTCATCTCCTGGGCCGGGGATTTAGCTCAGCAGTTCGGTGGCCTGCCCTGCAAGCAAGGACCCGAGTTCAATCCCCGGTATCAAAAAAAAAAAAAATAATAATAATACTCATCTCCTTTAACTCCTGCCCCTTCACTTCGAACACACTTATATTATTGTTTTTTCCACTTTCTGAAGCAGTTCTGGAAGTCTTTCATGAGTGTCTTTAGTTATGCTGTGGTGGCTGCTTCAACATCCTGAATCAATTCAAAACATCTACCTTTCATAATCATTTGGTCTTGGGGGACGATCCAGAAGTCACACGGTGGCCGATTCTGTAAGTTGGATAAGGACACACTGTAATGTTTTTACAGGCCTGCCTTTCTGTTGGATGGCATTCAGCAACAGCAACAGCAGCATAACCTTGATCACACCTCATAAAGACAGTCTCAGAAGACTTCCAGACTGCTTCAGAAAGTAGTAAGAGTGATAGGACAAGCATGTTTAAAGAGACGGGGAGTATTTTGAGAAGAATGAATGGTAATGTATTTTTTTATTATGATAAATTTTTAAAAATTTAAATCATCTGTATTTTATCACACTTTGTAATAGAAATTCATAAATTATGATGCAAGCACACTATCCCTATAATGGATGCTGTAGTATGTTTTGTTTTAATGGAAAAACTAGTAAAAATCAATTAAATTAAATAATCTTTGTCAAATGTGTCTATCTTATTTGAAGCAATGAAGGCTCTGAAGTGAAACTTCCTATACTCCAAATTTTGTACCCAACCCAGGCTTTCATATTGGGATCTCATGAGAAATGCTTATCAATGGGAAGTAGGGTAACTTGAGTATTCTTCACTTGGACTATTCAAACCTAGAAGTGCAAGATGTGAGTACCCCTTCTAAGCCTCAGCTGTGGTATTCTAGGACAGGCTGAGAGTTTAGAAACTAAACTTTTGCCTTCCACATCATGAGGGTGTGGCTCCTGTGGTAAGAGGTGGCTTCTACATGGCTGTGACAATATGGGCTGATGTGAGTACTACAGAAAAATTGGATACTCATTGGTAAGCACATTAAATTATAAGATTTAAATTGTATATATTTAACAAATATCATTCTAGGTTTTTATAATCTGAGCCATTTCAGTATGACTAAATGATTCCAAAATATTATAGAAAGCGCTTCAGAATTTCTTTTTTGTCTATGAAGTGAATGGAATAGATATTTTAGCCAATCTGCCTGGAACCATTCACATTTGTGGTCCTCCTGGGGAGCAGTAACACAAATTGACAATTTTCAGTTTGGACTTTGCTCATAAAACATTTTTTTAGGAACAAGACTAACAGGTCTAGAGGGACATTTGTAACTATTAATCTCACTAAAAGCTGCTATATTTATTAATTTTATCTTTATCTTTTGAAAGACAAGGATAGTTATGTGAGTGAAATTTGGAAAATGGGATTTATTGACTATATGTGCTATTCATTTGAAGAATATCCTTCTCTTTCAAATTATTTCATATGGATAATAGTTTTCATATTTTGAGCAACATGCACAGATTTTATATAAATGATTTCCAATCCATTTTATACAGCTGAACATAAAGAGACACTGTACATCTAAAACATAGCGAAGCTTGGATTTAAATTCCAAAACTTAAGCTTATTCTTTCATTTCATTCTGGCTCCCTAGTTAAAAGTCAGGGAACTTCACAGGTGAATCAGTTATAGAAGAATCAAGATTTCCTCTCTGAACTTGTACTTCACTGCATCCTTCCATAAGTCAATATGAACTACTTCAGGTTGGCTAAAAGTTCCCAAGATTTGGAGTCACTTCAATATGTCATTCTACCTGGACCACAGAGTACAAAATAGAAACATGGCAACCAAAACCCCTATGCTTTCCTTTGGAATCTGAACTCATTTTGGGAGAAATGTCATGGAATTATGTAGATGCTTGGTAAGAGGCTCCATTGTCTGTTGAAGTCATTTTGGGGTTAATAATCCTACGTGCACTAACAGTCTTGATTTTTTTCCTCATAAGCCACAGACTCAAAAGAAAACAATAGGAAATGAACTGTGTGATATTTTCTGTCCTCCCCACCTGGGAGGATCTACCTTCAGAAAACCTTTATCTTTTCCCCTTGTCGAACCAAGACCTGTTATGTAAAGGTACAAGATCCCAATAATGAATGTAACTATACTGTATACCTAAAATGTACCAATAAACTCAATGAGAGAAAAAAAAAGAAACACTTTATCGTAGAATTTTCAACCTAAGTGTTCTAGCACAATGTGCACCATTGCCCAATGTGCCTACCATTGCGCCGAGATGCCAAGCCCCTCACTCTCAGGGTGAGGGCTCTGAGATACTGGTGAGCAATCACCTCATACCATAACCAGCCTTAATCACTTAGCTTCAGTATACCACACATGTGTAATCATTTTCTGTAGAAATTGAAGTTTCTATGAAGAAGATTGGGAAATACTGTCTTAGAGAATTTAAGCACAACATGGTCGTATGTCTAAATTAAAAACTAACAATACGTTTTATAGATGCCAGACAACATTTAAAAAGCATATCAATTAATACAATTTATGTTTCTTACTGTCTTTCTTTTTTATGCTCAATAATCATGCAAGCTGTACTTACTCTATTCTTATTCCTTTAAACTAAAATATAATTTAGTCTCTTTGAAATTATAATCTTTCTGTTCTTTAAATCTTTTCCCGAAACTAATACCAAGCCAACTCCCCTCATTACTGAACTACCTAACCCACTTCATTTCTTACCAAAGATGATGACAATAAGTACATGTACATAAATATAGAATATATATTTACACATAAGTATTTCAAAATATGTACCTTAGGGACTGGAATTTTTCCAAGTTTTTTGGAAGTCATTTTGATAGAATGTTATGTTAGCATCATAGCCATTAGAGATTATTCGGACTAATCTTCCCAATTTATACATATATAAGTGGACAGTGTCATATCCATGGTCACACAGCTAATAAGTAATCAGGATAGAAATCCAATTCTTATTCCAAGTCTGTTTTTTTCTAATCAAAGTGTATTACAAATTTTTTAAAAAGTCCTTTAAGAAACTTTCATGTAACTCATCATGAAAACTCATCTTGGAAAAGCCTATAAACTTTAACTTGTATTCATATGTGTTAAAAAATATTAATAAATGTGGCCAAGACTGTGATCTGCCTGTCCTCATCGGGACCTAAGTGTTAGACTCCCAAGTGTGAAGCTTCGTGTTCACCTCCATATCTCATAGGTATTATCACTTGCTATATGTACCATGACATAGAACCAGTTGGAAAACAGTGGTTTAAACTGATTCTCATCACTGCTCTGTTATCTAGACTCCAACCTTTGCGTATGTGAGCCAATATATTAAACTACCTGGTTTGTTTTGTCATTGGCCTAAGGTCAATTTAAGAATTTGAGAATACCTGGAAATTGTGTTGCTTGAGCATAGATGTATTCTAGAGTTCATTTACAAAGTATATTTTTATAAATTATGAGAGGCTTCTCTGTGGGATGTCCTCCCCCAAAGTCTCATGCAGTCTGATGGGGTTTTTGGAGGTGGCCGGATCTAGTATGTGTGCTACTGAGATGAAGGAACGCAGAACTGTGATTGATTCACACTGTGAGGCTAGGATTAAGTGGGTGTTCCCTGCCCTAAGCATGGGTAGCCTGGATAAAATATAAGGCACAGAAAGAGCTCCTAAATTTGCTGCTTCTCAGTGGTAGGTTGCTGCCTTGATAACTTCTGCCTACCATAGACTGTTTCTCCTCTGTGATGCCCCTCTGCCATACCACCCTGCCTTGGAGCCAGCCAACTATGAACTGAAACCTCTACAAACTGTGAGCCAGATAAACCTTTCCTCTTTTAACTTTAGGTGTCATGTATTTTGTCTCAGCATTGAGAAAAGTAACTAAGACAATGGGGTAACTTCTAAGAGCAACAATATAGATTAAAAAAATCGATGCAATTATTTTCACCACTGTGAGGGTTCTCTCTCAATATTAAAATCACATTCTATATTATATATAGTTATAAATAAATATAAAGTGTGGTTGAAAAAATTCTAAGATGGTCCCTATAATTCTCCCCTGGTATCCACACCTTTGTGCAAGATCTTGAATTTAAGCAAGATCTATAACTTGCTTCTAACCAATAGAATATGGCAAAAGTGATGGACTGTCTGAGTAATTATGCTATGTTATATGACAAATGTGAGTTTTATATGTAATTAAAGTTCCTAATGAATTGACCTAATCATGTGAACCCTTAAAAGAAGGCCTAGAAGTTAGAGAAGCTAGTCTCTTCACTGCTAACTGTGAAATAACAATCTCCATAACATCTGCAATCACCCAGAAATAAATTCTGCCACCAACCCGAGGGAATTTAGAGGCAGATCCTTTCCTGTGTGTACCTTGAGAGGGGAAACCCCCTTCCACACCTCAGTTTCAGATTTGTGAGATCCTCAGCAGAAAACCTAGCTGAACCATGGTTAGATTTCTGACCCACAAAAACTGAGATAATATATGGCATTTTAGACTGGTAAGTTTGTCATTTGTTACACACCAGTAGATAATAAGTTGAGCTCATGAAGCCGTGAAGCAAGCCCTGGAATATACCATCCAAACCTTACCTGTACTTCTATGCTAGCTAGCTCCTCCTGCACATGTAGCAGTTGCTGTTTCTCTTGGGAGAGTTGTTCTACAAGCCTCTCCTGGGCAGCCAACCTCTGACTCAGTTCTTCAATTCTCCTGCAGCAAAGAAAAGTAACAAATCCATTGTTAACCACCATTGGACCACTCTGATGTTCCAGCGATTCCTACTTAGGTTCCTGACTATCAAGAAGCGAGTTTTCATAAGGGATGTCTCTGACAACCTTAAAAAGAAAAATCTTTGGTTATGGGCCTGTATAGTCTTAGAAATGGTGAGGTTCCGTGATCAATTCTTAAAATGGAGCAGTGTAACTGCTGCTGTATATTCATAGCTGTGAGAAAAGGCAAAAGATAGCACAAAGAACACCAAAGGCACCTACTTGTCTCTCTGGGCCAGGGCCTCTGTGTATTGGTTTGGCTCGACCTGGTCTCCTAGTACGTCTTCATGGTCTTTGGTGACTCCCTTCAGCTTCTCTGACAGCTCCAGGTTACACTCTTTCTCCGCTTCCACCAGAGCTGCCATCCGTGCAGCTTCATTTTTGGCTAGTCTGGATTCCTTCAAAATGAACAAAACATGAAAAGCTGCAGAGTCCCACTAAGTGAGGAGCTCCATGACACAGGGACACTTGATAGTTTGGGAACAGAGATAGAGATAGAAAAGGTGAAAGCCGACGGATAGGATAGTAGGGTAAGAGGTAAAAGAAGCCCTAATCAGGGACCTTCAGCATTCCTACTTACCTCCTGCAGGAGCTGGATTTTATTCTCCAAGAGTTCATAAACATGCTCTGTCTCTTGCTGTCGCTCCTCAAACTGGCGCCGGAGCTCAGCTTCATTCTGGCTGTTTAGACTCTCCACATCAGACCTAAACCACAGAGAATTAGCCGGTCACAGCCAGATACACAAATTTGTTAGTGGATTCATTGAAGTTATTCCAGCAATTCAGAGTCACACTGAGGAGAAGAAATTGAAGTTTGTTTTGTGTTTTCAATTATCTGGGGAACTGTTCTGGTCAACTTTTTGAGGGGATCTTTTAGGAACTCTTAATTTGTTGTGTTTTTGTTGTTGCTTGTCAGGCAGGATATGCCTAACTTCCTAAAGGCTTCATTATTGCTATACCTTCAAGAGCAGGAACTTTTTGTTTGGTGTGCAGGTAGTTAGTGCCCATGTTTATGACCTTCTGTCCCTGGATTATCCCATTTATCCTTTTCTAGAGAGTTTTGCTAGCTCTATTTCTTGCTGTTTGGATTTGAAACGTTTCTTCCATTTAGCTTGCTGGGACAGAATGTCCATTTGAACAGCCACAGAAATGCCCTTCTCCTTTACAGCCAGAAATGCAATGTAGACTGTCCTTAATTTGGACTACTTGTCTAGAGTCCTATCCAGTTTTCTACAGTCCCATGCAGAGATCAGACCTTTAATCCAAGGAAGCGTGGTTTTGGCTAAGCTCTGCTTCTCTGATATCCTTAGGAATAAATGTCCAGGCTCTAACATGAAGTGGGTAAGGTATCACTAGTTTATTTATAGCAAACAACAGCTGACCTTGGATAGCTGAGGATTAGAAAATTTGGGGCAGTATCAGGTGTTGAGTCATGTTAAATCCAGTTAAGTTTTATTCCTGTTTTAATCAATTTGTTGAGAACCATGAGCCATATTCTTGTTCTCAAGGCAGCAAACAATATTACCTCTGTCAGCTCATAATGTGCTCAGCCCAGTGCTACTTTACTATTTTGGGCTTTCCTAAAGATTGCAAAATTCCTTGGTTGATAGTGGACACTGTTCAGCAACTTCCCAGAGGATGTACTTGTCTCAAGTTTTCTAGTCTTTGGGGTATATAAGATCTTGATTAATGGACAAAACTCAAGAGTATAACCCAAAGCTGCCAAATAAGCTATTTCAGGAGTCATTAACTTTTACTTTGACTCTATATTCCTTGATAAATGCAATATACAACCACAGACTGTCATCTCTAGAGAATGGAAGCTATACATTTTCCAAGAAACTCAGCCAAGAATACCTTATTTAACAAGTTACAGCTTTTGTAAAGTCAGCAGACTCTTGAACTTGATGCCAAAAGATGATGGTTCTACCGCTAATTTGAGATGATGTCAACTCATTGTCTCCTAGTTTCATTTTTCAAAATAAGACTATGCTGCCTACATCAAAATTGAGACAACATAAAATTTTTAGTATATGTGCTGCCAAAGCAAGTACAGAATTTTTAAAGGCATTTAAAAAATCTGAAAATGTATTACTCAATTGTTAAAACTTTTTCTAAAGTCTATTACCCTTTTAGTATTTAATAATGCCGGCATATTTATATATGGTTTGAATATTCTGATCTTGTCAGATGTCTTTCTAGTAATGAACAAATACAGTAGACAGGAGGAATGCCCGATCAGATTGAATACATACTAATCCCAGGATATAATCTAAAAATATTTCAGAAACAATTTTACTAATACTTTATCATTCAAAACTTTTAAAAAATGATAAATAACTATAAATAAAAGTAAACATTTTAACAATACAAAAGTTTATAAAGAAAAAAATCAAATCTGATCATAATTCTGATCTTATTCCTGTACATAAGCACTATTAAAGAGTTTGGTGGCACCTCTGTTTTCTGGGTGTAATCAAGTAAATGCATGTACACACAGAGAGGACTATTTGTCTTTACCCCAAGAGGCTTTACATTATGAACATAACTTAGCACTTTTTCTCCTTAGTCTATCAGGGACTTTCCACCAAGGCAATAATATGGAGCTCATTCTTTTAAATAACTGTGTAGGATGATTCAAAAGATGATTTTACTGAAAATTCTTCAACCATTGCTCTGTTGATGGACAGTTGTTTCTAATTTTTTTGCCATTACAAACAACACTTCAGTAAATACTTTTATACACTTTTTCTACTGCATGGGTGCTTTTATTTATAAGGAATAGAGTCCTTCTAGGAATTATCAAAGGAGATGTTTCTTTTTATTTTAATAGTAGCACCACATACCAAAAATGCTGTCATAATTTTCACTCCTACCAGAGGTATATGAGAGAAAGTGTGTTTTCCCCACACATGTCATCCCTTGATGTATTATTAGATTGATTGAGAATCTCTAATAAAGATTATTTGCACTTGTCTCTTTAAACTAAAAGTGGAAGTATCCACCATTTCCTGGTTAGCTCATTACTATTTTATAAATTTATAATCTTAGGTCTGGTAGATTTACCAGCAAGGTCCAGATGACCTAGTAACAGAGAGCCCAACGGAAAGAAAGCACATGAAAACCCATTGTCAAACTCCTGAATTGGCTACAACATTCAAATGCCAGGGTTACATTTAAGGAATTTGATTCCAACTCTGTTGTTCTCAGATTAGTGAGCCAGGCATTAGAATAGGAACAGAGCTCACCTTTTCAAACTCTTCTGCATAGTTCAAAGAGCAACTCACCATGTTTTATCCAGATGTTGTTTTTTATCCTGAAGTTCTCGTTTCAAGCTCTCCACTTCAACCTTCAGCTCGATGTTCTGAAAAATACAGACATTAATCATCATTAACTGTCAAACACCCTCTATCCTGGAATCAGATTCTTAGTTAAGCTGAGCCTTGGGTCCACAGCCTCCCATCTCAGCCCCTTCCACAACCTTGACATGCGTGGGAATTCAGATGGTTTAGTAACCCAGTCAAGGACAAAAGAACTGTGCAGCTCCAAGATTTCCCAAGAGCTACTTATTCTTCCATTCTGTTCATCTCTGGTCCTGGATAATCAATAATGACCCAGCCTGTTCCCCCTCTGAAACATTAGAGGACAGAGTGCATACAAAAACAATTTTTCTTAGAAATACAGGTCTCTATCCAAAAATAAAATTGCTATATATGGAATTATATTTTTAAATACCTGGGGATTGAATTATTTTAAGAAATTTTGTTGGGAGCATTTTTTATAAAATACTTTGCCATTATAATGAAATTAGGCTTTTATATATTAAGGTAAGAAGGGACTGGTGGTAAACCTAAATAGATGCCACTTCATTTTTATTGAGCTAAGGCATCAGAGTCAGAAGACTCTAATAAACAGAAAAAGGCAATGAAAAATCTCAAGTGAAGTATGACAAAAATTTGGTGAAATGTGCAGGATGTGTCTGGTGCATGTTAAGTGACCTGGTGTATGATGAGAAGTGGCAAATCACTACAGAAATAGTTTGTGATGAGTTTCGATGACAAAATAGTAATCAGTAGCACCAAGACACCAAAGAGCATCAGGGAGCATTAGGCAAAATATTGTCACTATCAGATCTATGTTGAGGAAGGAACTTGTGGCAGATGTGATGATGGGTGAGTCAGGAAGCTCCTGAGCAAAATAGGGGTGGGAACTGTCTGAGGCCAAAGAGATACAGAACTTTAAAGAGGCAGTATCTGCAAGGTTTGCTGACTGTGACGTTCAGGTTAGACTAGAAGGCTGAGCAAAGATGACGTTGAGATTTCTAGCCTGTAGGTGGTGATGCATGCTCTGACCTATAATAAGGCACAGAAATAAGAGGAGCATGGATGTGGAGGCACCTAAGGAGTCTGTAAATGTTGGTGTTCGGGTTACTCTATTTCACTTTAGAATTGAGATACAGAGATGAATCAGTCTCTTCGTCGATGAATTTCCTTAAAACATACTCAACAGAAAGAATGTTTAGGAATATAGGAAGAGTAAAGGAATTGCTGACTTTTGGTCAGAAATTGACAAAAGCATTGAAGGTACAGTGGCTGAGGTATGGAAAGGCGTATCGTGGATACTGGAAGAGACAGAAGCATTTTATTCTAGTTATCACTGTATAAAAATCACCAATCCCTAAATTTCTTGGAGTCCGAAGCAACACTTGTTGAGTTCATCACTCACTTCCTCATGCAGGGTGAAACAGTAGCAAAAATAACAATTGGGAGCAGTAGAAATCTGGTTTAGATATTTAAGAGTTACTGAGAATTACAGAGTTTTAGAGCTAGGGGAGCTGGATTCAAGGTATTCTACATCATATTGCTACTGAGTTTCTAGTTTCTTTCATAAAATGGCAGATGTTTTTGCTTTGAGATAGAACATGGGTTGGGATAAAATGAGATTAGAATATTTTAATATCTTCAGGGGTTACATTACAGCATTTAGGAAGTAAATGATGGCCTTTTTTCATGACTTCCTTTAAGGTGGTTATTTTATGACCACTGAATAGGGAACCAGATTTAGCAATTTAAAATACAGCATGTTTAGTCCAACTTGAATTTCAGATAAATAATAATTTTACTATAAATATGTTCGTTGAAATATTTGGGACATATTTATGATAAAATATCATTTGTTGTTGATCTGAAATTCAAGTTTAATTGAGCATTTTGCATTGTTCACATCAAAAGGAGAGGGACTGGCAATGTAAACCCTCTAAAATTAACCACTTAATGGCAAAGCATATTTCAATTTTGTATGAAGAGAAGGCCTAAGACCTTTAAATCAATTCCATGGTCTGGTACTACAAGAACAAGACATCTGCTCCAACTGAACAATCAGTGAAATAGAAGATTTTTTTTCCTGGTACCAGGGATCAAACACAGGACCTTGTGCTTACCAGGCCGGTACAGCACCACTGAGCTACATTCCTGGCCCCGGCAATAGCAGATTTAATGAGCACTTGCTCTCTCCCCAGCTTTGTGCTCAGCAGTAAGAGGAATATAATTATCCTCATGAGAAATTGCCCCTAAGCTGAGACCCTTCAGAGAGATGGAGATGTCCATCTATCATAGTCTAGCACCTGTAACATGGGTATTACTGTACTTTCCTCATCATAACCTGCCACAGAAGGCCAGGTGACGTAAATAATAAATGATAAAGGAGTTAGAACAGTGTTGTGAACATAGATATAACAGTTACTATAATCATCATCAACAGTGGCAGCATTATCACCTGGGGCAGCATATGTTTGTTTTCCATAAGACTGTTGTATCTCAAGTGGACTCAGTACACGGCATATGATACTGAGAAAGAGGATGCTTAAGTTTATTATTTCTAACACCAACTACTTCACTTGTCGACCTTGGGGGAAATTCTGCATAAGTCTCTCTACCTGGAAAATGACAAAGAATGAGTAACACACGATCTAAATGTCATATGAAAGAAAGTGTAATCTCTAACTATGAAGTTTTGTTACTATTATTCATCATGCCTGGCTAACTGATTAGGAAAGTCCAGATATTCACTGAGCCATCTGAGATATGTCAAAAATGTTTCAGCAGATAAAAGAAAAATCTCATGTCTGAAAACACATGAGGCCTTAGGTGACTGAAGCCATAAATGACTCTGACTTCTGCTCCATACCATAATGTAACACAGGGAATCTTTATCAGGTGTGAATCTATCAACAGAAAATCCCTGAAAAGTCCCTTAGTATATTTTTTTTCATGAGAAATCCTTGAGTATTTAAGTAAAAGCAAAAGTATTTAAGTAAAGTACAAACAGAGAACATGGGAGACACTGAGAAACAGTGAAGAGAACCACTCTTAAGTGAGAAAGATTAGGTTCAAACTGTCTACCACTTATCTGGTAGGTGACCTCAAAGGGTTACCTGCTCACTTGACTCTTAGGTTTTCTCATAGGCTTTGCACAGTTGCTTACTTTTAAAGGAAGAGCATAATGATTATTTCACAGGGGGTTTTGTAAGTATTAAGTGAGATAATGCATAATACTCACCTGGAACACTATTTTGCATACAGCTATTCAAAACTTTAGTTCACTTTCCCTTCATGCCCAGTGTTAGGGCTTGTGTTTAGATGTCCCCCTGAAGTCTCACATGGTCACAGGGCTTTCAGAGGTGGCTGAATCTAGAGAGTGTGACACTAGGAGTAAGGATGGGTGATTACTAAATCAGTCCATTGATTAGTCTGGCACATAGCCCTAATCCCAGTGGTCTGGATGAGATAGAAGGGGCAGAAAGATTGCTGTTAAGATCCCTGGTTGCTTTTGCTACCATGTGGCACCATGAACTGTTTCTCCTCTGCAACGCCTTTCTGCCATGTGCCACTCTACCTTGGAGCCAGCCAATTATGCACTGCAACCTCCAGAAACTGTGAGCTAATAAACCCTATAACTTTGGGTGTCAGGTATTTTTGTCTTAGCAGTGAGAGAAAAGTAACTAAAATACATCAGAGACCTCAACACCAGGAAAAATATTTAAATGTAAAAAGAAGAAAAATGGAAGACATATTCATGATGGATGCTCCATTCATTCTAAATCCTAGTGAGAAAATGAAGTCAATTATTGGATTAAGTTGGCCAAAGATTCCAATACATGAAATCCTTACCTGTTCCAGGCCTCTCATTTTTTAAAAAAATTAGGAAATTGAAATCTAGTAGGATAATCTCTAAGGCAAAAGCAGTAACCAAACCAGAATTCATTAGACTTTTGCCTCGGCATTTCAGCCAGAGAGACTTGCCCAGAAAACACTGCTCAGTTTAGTAGAATGTGATAAGTTAAAGAATTACATCATGTGCTGCATTAAATGGGTCCTTGAAAAAGTATATGGAGGCAATAAGTATAATGGTCAAGAGCATAAAATGTCCCAAGGACAAGAAGCTTTGGCAGTCAACTGGCTTTTCATTTGTTTTGTTTTTTGTTTTTGGTACAGGGGATTGAACTCGGGTCCTTGCGCTTGCAAAGCAGGCCACCAAACCACTGAGCTAAATCCCTGGCCCTCAACTGGCTTTTCTAACATCCTCAATCTCTTCATCTATTAATGGGATGATAATGTTATCAGTCTCACGTGGATGTGAAGAAGATCAAATGAAATAATTCGTAGTGTCTGGTATACCGTAAGCATCCAAAAAATGTGAGCAGTTTCTGACTATAACAACAACAATTTCTCCTTTCTGACTAGGATAGATGAAGTTCTCAGCTGTAGTCACATGTTAAACTAATATTATGCCATAGAAAGGAAAAACATCACTCTAAAATTGGTATACCCCAAACCCTTATGAATATACATGAATATGAATATACATCCTGTCTGAAAACTCTTCACTGATTATTACTCCTTATTTTTCCTTTTTAGATAAATAGCAAAGAGAAATGAAATTGAAAAAAGAGGAAAGAAGAAATCCATTGACTTCTATAGGCTCTAGTATTATGTCTCTTCAAATAGACAATAAGGTTTTTGAGTCTCACACTGAACTGCTGAAATTCTAATCCCCAGCACATTGGATCCTAAATCGTATGATCAATTATTCCACTGGATCAAACTAATTTCATGGGTGCTACAAAACCTTACCACTCAGAAAGCCAAGTACAAATCAATTTATAGTGTGAAAGTGTAGGCCTTTTACAGTTCTTTTCTGCAGAAAAATCACTGCATAGTTTATCACATTTATCTACCCTCCATAAATAAATATTCATGTGTAAGTTGTTAAATTCTAAGAATAGCTTAAGTGAATCCAAAATTAACTGCATTTGTTTGTCTTATCATCAAATCTTGTCAACTCTTTATCAAGATATCTAAAGAA